AAAATAAAAGTGAAGATTTGTCAATAATAATAATTTAATAAAAGATAGTGTAATAAATCATCTGCATTGTCTGCTTGAATGTTTGAATATCGAATGCTAAATTTTTATTGATTTGATTGGTCAGCAGTCACGTTTTGATCAACATCTCAACCAAATATCACGCAATTTTTTTTGATTGGTTGGCAATATGTTTTGATCATCATTTGTGACAAAATCGAATTTTGGTGATATACTGAATGGAAACAAATCCGCCCATATGTTCTCTAACTTTGAGTATTTGCATATTTTTGATTTGATATAAGGATTTTTTAAAATAAGGAATAGTATTATAATTTTTTGTCTCCAATGGTAGTTTTGTTGAAGATCCATAAAAGATAAAAAAAAATAAAATAAATATATGTTGAGCAATCTTCCTCAATGGTATTTTTAACCAATCAATGTAACTGAAAAAAAGATAATTGTTAAATCTAGGATTTTTTTGATTGAAATGGCTATCACGAACTATTTATTTTAACCAATCAGATCACTTTATTAATCATAGATGTAGGCGCTTGAGAACAACCTAAACCTAGCACATGATGGATTTTCTCTGAAAACTTGGTGTAGGCCGTTCTCAAGTGCCTCCCAATGTAATTAGCTAGTGATAGAGGTGATGTTCAAATGCTACGATCAATGTTGCGATCGGTGCTTGAGCTATCTCTTTCTCTGATTTCCATTATGGCTCCAAGAAAAAAAAGCGATTACTCAGTTACCTAAAAAATTTAGAACCCAAGATTTTGGCGTTTGAAACTTGCCTTCAGCTGTCCTCTTAACAATTTCACCAATAACTTATCATTGCAACAACAGTCAGATTTGGCTACAAGTCATTACAGCAACAACCATATTCGGCAACGCAACTTTATATGGATTCGTTAACGCGATATCGAAACATAGTGAAGCATGAGCATTATTTTAAAATAATTTTTATTCTTTGAACACTAATTCTGAATGTCTTTATTTGTTATAAGAGTTTTTAGTATGAAGAATAGGATAATAATTTTTTGGTAGCGATGACAGTTGTTGAGGATCCATTTTATGAAAAAATAATAGCAATAAAATGAAAATGTATTTGAGCTTGAGCAATCTCATTAATTACTCTGTCAATGCTAAATGTTAAACAATCAGTACAGCTCTACGAAAAAAAAAGTTGTGATTACAGTTCCAAGTTTTTTTTTCGACCAATCAAATCATTCGGTTAACTCATTGAGGTAAGCGCTTGAGAATGGCAGTATTTACATTATTCGGTACAAATTTATTTAAATCCACAAGAGATTCATTGTGGCGATTTAACGTATAACATGCTTATATTCGAGATCTTAGCGTAATGGATTATTATGCTCATGATTTTGTTTGAATCTTCAATTGAACTTTTTCTCGACGTCTTAGGGATTCTGCATCATTTAGGTCAATTTTTAATGCATTATTGAAGTCTTCAAGCGAATTTTTAAATTCTCCAAGTTTATAATATGCTTGTGCTCGAGTTTTTAATGCATCAAAATTCTTCGGTTCAAATTTCAATAACTTTGTTAAATCCTTTACTGATTCTCGATATCTTTTTAATTTATAATAAGATTGCCCCCGGATTTTTAATGCAATTTTATTATTTGAATCAGTTCTTAATGTGCTTGTCAAATCTCTAAGGGACTCTTCATATTTTTCTAACTCAAAGTAAGTTTGTCCTCGATATACTAATGTCACCTCATCGGTCGGATTAGCGTTCAATAATTTAGAAAAATCCGCAAGTGATTCATTGTAACGTTTTAGCTTATAATACGTTTGTCCTCGAGATTTTATCGTGGTTAAATTATCCTGATCAATTTTTAATGAATTGTTTAAATCTTCAAGAGCTTCTTGGTAACTTTCTAACTCGTAGTATGTTTGTCCACGAATTCTTAGTGCAAGTGCATTGTTTTTCTCAAATTCTAATGATAATGTTAAGTCTTCAAGGGATTGGCCGTAATTTTTTAAATAATAATGTACTTGCCCTCGAGATGTTAATGCGCATGCATCATATTGATTTATATTTAATGCATTTGCTAAATCTTCAAGAGAATCTTTGTATCTTGCAAGCATATAATATACCTGTCCTCGAGCTTTTAATGTATCAAAATCCTTTGAATTAATTTCTAATGAATTTGTTAAAGTTCTTAGAGACTTATTATACAATCCTAACTCATAATAAGTTTGTCCTACAAATCTCAGAGTAACTACATTTTTAGAGTCAACTTCTAATAACTTATTTAAATCGTCAAGTGAATTTTTAAATTCACCAAGAGCACAATATACTTGTACTCGAATTTTTAATACATCGACATTCATTGGTTCAATGTTCAATAACATTGATAAATTCTCTACTGATTCTCGGTATCGTTTTAATTTATAATAAGATTGTGCCTGAATTTTTAAAGCAATTATATTTTTTGTATCAATTTTTAGTAAATTTGTTGAATCTTCAAGAGATTCTTTATATTTTTCTAACTCAAAATAAATCTGTCCCCGATATCCTAATGATTCCGCATCATTCGGATTAGCATTTAATAATTTTGAAAAATCATCGAGAGATTCATTATAAAGTTTTAGCTTATAGTATGTTTGTCCCCGATACCTTAACGCAAATGGATTATTCGGTTCTATGACTAATGACTTTGTCAAATCTTCAATTGATTCTTCATGTTTCTCTTGATTATAATGAACTAATCCTCGATGCCTTAGGGACTCTACATTATTTTGGTCAATATTCAATGCTTTATTCAAATCTTCGAGTGAATTTTTAAATTCACCAAGCGCACAATATACTTGTGCTCGAGTTTGTAATACATCAATATTTTCTGGTTCAATGTTCAATAATATTGATAAACTCTCTACTGATTCTCGGTATTTTTCTAATTTATAATAAGATTGTGCCTGAATTTTTAAAGCAATTTTATTTTTTGGATCAATTTTTAGTAAATTTGTCGAATCTTCAAGAGATTCATCATATTTTTCTAAATCAAAATAAGTCTGTCCCCGATATCCTAACGTTTCCGCATCATTCGGATTAGCTTTTAATAATTTTGAAAAATCATTGAGAGATTCATCATAACGTTTTAGCTTATAGTATGCCTGTCCTCGGGATCTTAAAGTAGATGAACTATTTGGTTCTATTTTTAACGATTCTGTGAAATCTTTAAGTGATTCGTCGTATTTTTCTGAATTGTAATAGACTAGTCCTCGAAGATTTAATGACTCTGCACTATTTGAGTCAATATTCAATGCTTTATCAAAATCTTTAAGTGAATTTTCATATTCACCAAGTATATAATATGCTTGTGCTCGAGTGTTTAATGCATCAAGGTTTTCTGGATCAAAGTCTAACAATCCTGTTAGGTTTTTTATAGATTCTTCATATTTTTCTAACATGAAATGAGATTTTCCTTGAACCAATAGTGCAATAGGGTTTTTTGGATTAATTTTTAATAAATAGGTCGAATCTTCAAGAGATTTGTTAAATTCTTTTAACTTAAAGTATGTCTGTCCTCGACATTCTAATGTGATTACATCGTTTGAGTCAATTTCTAATAATTTAGTTAAATCTAATAGTGATTCTTTGTAACGATTTAGCATGTAATATGTTTGACCTCGAAATCTCAGTGCAATAGCATTATTTGAGTCTATTGTTAATGATTTAGTTAAATCTGCAATTGACTTTTCGTAGTTGCCACGTTTATAGTATATTTGTCCTCGAGATATTAATGAAACTAAATCATCGTCAATAATTTCTAATAAATTATTTAAATCCTCAAGCGATTTATCGTAATTTTCTTGTTTAAAGTAGGCCAGTCCCCGGAATTTTAATGCCTCTGTATCATCTGGATCAATGTTAAGTAATTTACTTAAGAGTTCAATAGAACGTTCGTAGTTATTCGCCTCATAATAAACTAGTCCCTGAGCTTTTAATTCACTCGCATCGTCTTGCTTTTGAGAAGATTTTTTTAAACTAGGTTCATTTATTATCCGCATATTCGGCCCAACGGAAAATAATGTAGATGTTCCGTTCCTGGTTAAAACAGGAATAGGTCTTTGATTACGATTTATAATGAATTCCTCAACTTCAGTTTCTTTTGATATTTTATTGAGAGTCGCCAAAATTTCGTTTGTTGTTGGACGATTCTGCGGATTAATGTCCCAGCAATTTTTATAAAGCTCGGCGAAATTAAGTGGTGTACCGGGAATCATATCCTCTCGATAGCCTTGCATGATTTGAACGCATATAGCAAGTCCATTGACAGCGTTCTGAAACGGAGCAATTCCACTCGTAAGCTCCCAAAATACTACACCTAAGCTATAAACATCTGATTTTTTATCACGTATATATCCAGACTGATGGCATACCGGATCAATGTATGCTGGTGCACCGTGCGAAGTTGTGAATGAAGAAATTAAACTGTCATTAGCCTTTTTTGCTAAACCAAAATCAGCAATTAAGAATTTGTTATCATTTATTAAGATATTTTTAGGATGCTAAATAAATTACTGAATTATTAATTTAAATAATTTACAATAAATTATAAGTCGAATATTAGAAACTTATACTTACTAAATCACAATGAATTATATCATCCTCATGTAAACGCATTAATCCGAGAGTAACTTGTTTCGCAATTTCAATAATTTCGGTTATTTTAATTGTAAAAGCATTCTCATGCCATTTGTTCTGCAAATATTGCCGCAGAGTCCCTCCATTGGCAAACTGCAATACTAATATAAGATGTCCTGTTTCAGGATCTAAAATTATATGTAATCACAGTAGAAATATTATTTAGGGAATGTAAGGAATATTATGCATATAATATGTATTATTAACAGTACCTATTGTAATCCCATGGAATTGATTAATATTACGATGAAATTTAATAGCACGTAGTTGTTTAAGCTATAATAAGATTATGACTTATTAGATGCGGACATACACTGGAAGACAACTAAAAATTCATTACCTCATTAACGAAGTCTTTAGTTGCTTCTTTGGTTTTGAGGTTTTTTAATGCGACTTTTTCTCCATCATAGTCAGCCGAACTAATAAGTCCAAACCCGCCTTTATGAATTTTAACGATTTAAAGTTAAAAAATTTTGTTATTTGTATTAGATAAAGAATGTACTAAAAAATAATTAGAAAATCATACCGCTTCCAATAGCTTCAATATCGCTGAACAGTGAATAATTATAAAAGAATATATTACCATTTTCCACTTCCTTTTTTAACCATTTAGAGTATTTTTCTAACCCATCTGAGCGTGACATCATCGGTTTCTACTCACTATAACCATTGTGAAAGGAGGGGTATATCATTATACCTTACTATTACGCAAGAAATTTAACTGAGATCGTTAGTCGTACGTTGTACGTACGTACGTACGTACAGTATCCTATCACGGTTACACAAAAAGCTCATATGAAATATGCTAAAAAGATACGTAGAATACAGCAACAAAGACCACCCAAGAACATATGAAAAATTGAAGACAACGCTTTTAGAGGAATATATTGCAATGATATATTGCTGAATTGGTATATCGATATTTTTAATTAATTTGCTAACGCTAAGCAATAAATTTACATGTTTAGAAATTTTATGTGATAAACTTTCTGAGGATACTGTACGTACGTATCTGTGTATCCGTGTATCCGTGTAACGCATATTTTCGGTTTTGTTGCCAATTCACGTGTGCAACTGATAGTGATTTAACCGGTTTGTGGTAATCGGCTAACCGAACAGATCCGGAACAACTCGGGTGAATCAGTTAGGTAAATTCTCAATCGGTTAAGCCGATGTACAGTATTAGTATCGGTATTGATAGCGATAGTTTGCATTAAATAATTTATGAAGCTAATTTTCCGAAATTTCAGAAATTATTAAAAAGCCGATAAAAAATCCTAAATAATAAATAATAAAAACCCTGATTATGGTTTGATTTACCGATTTTCTGAACACCCTACCGTTTCTTTATGATGGAAGAAGGTGATGAAACTGTACCTATAGTTACTAATTCCCATGACCCCTTTAATGCAGTTTCGATTAATAAATTGCGTGCACCAACCGATTACCAATTAATTGATGAAATTGATCAATTCATGGGCATTTGGTTCGGAAACCGGACATTACGAGCAAGTTTGAACCGACTGGATCAACAGGCCTTTGGAAACATGCGACCAGCAAACAATGAGATAAATGAGACTACCAGAAATGCAGAAACATTATTGGACTCCTGGTTACCAGATAATTTCAAAGCATGGGTTGATTTCATTTACCCTGTAGCATTGACTACCGTGGTCTCTACAAACGGGACAAATGAGGACGCACTTGATCGAGAGTTGGCTTTTCCCAGCTATGTACTTAGTCAGGGAAATCCAACGCTCAGACGACTGATCATATTGATATGTATACACAATTCCCCGGCTCACAACTTACCTTCAGATATATTATATGTCCTCCTGGCTTTATGCGCTGGAGGTACACATCATGGACAATTTTGTGTAATGATTCCTCGACGTGAGATGTATAATGATCAATTTCCAGACTTAGCATGTCACTTACACCACCTAAATGAAGGGATAAATCATCAAGAATGTCGTAGAAATCTAACACACCATGATTATGAGCAACAATGCGCTGGTCAAAGGATTTTCAGTTTTACCGAACAAGAACAACAATTAATTCTTAATCCTGAGAACGGTGTTATTATGTGTGGTGATTGTGGTTCATTGGAAACATGGGGTGAGTCAGGGCCTCATAATGCTCCAGGCATTAGACAACAATGCAAGAACCAACACCAAATTGTTAGTGGTGATCATGAAATCTTTTCACGGCATCACATTCTTCGGCGAGGGACAGGATGGAAAACACAACGCCATGAAGGGTTTGATCCACCAACCACTAATCAGTGGTTTATCAATCCTTACAGTAATGAGATTCGGCACAATCCCCAATGCACACACACGCAATCATTAGACAATTATGAATGGCCAATGGTAGACCCGCATCAATCCATTAATATCGGACGAGATCCTATACCAAACCATGAGATTCGACTACATAATAATTTTAGTCGTAAAATATACTGGTATCGATTTTCTTCCGAGCAGGATTATTAGTTTTGCCAATGAATCAAAAACCTGTTTAAAATTGAGATTGTTCTGAACAATTAATTTCAAAAACCATTATTAAAAAACTTTGTCGTCCCAATTCATCCTACCTTTTGCCGAAAGCAAACTGTTACTCAACTCAACGAGATAAAAATTGAAGAATATCTCTTACCTAGGTCTGGGATGCGACTTGGGGCCGATCACCTTCCTCACTTTATATTCACCATATAGCGTAAGACGATATGATCAACTTAATGATGTTAAATATGATGATGAGTTTCACATGCTGTTTAGAATTTTCTTATTGAATTTGGGCAAATGTCTTGACCACCACTTCAACATAGATGCTTACGTGTTTGGGACATTTAAACAACACAATTTATACGACAATTTTTCATGGGTGTTGATTTTTTTAAATCTCTGGAAAAATAATTTGGGGTCAATCAAATTAGAGGAAAGGCATAAACCATATATATATATCAATTCAGATTGACCAATAAAATTGCTTATTACATAAAATTCTAGTTCTTTAACATATCGATTTCAAAAAATCGCATAACAATTTTATGGTTTGCAAAACGATGTATCTTTGTAGATTGCAGCCCAAATTGCAATCAATTTCGAAGTTGCACTTATTAACTGAAGATTCAATATTACATTTATCAATGGTACACCATTTTGCAAACTGCGATAAATGGCTTCATGATCAACTTCTATTTGAATTTTCTATAATATTTGTGTTACACATCTCACGGGACTGCAACCTGGAGTAAAGCGATATTAACGGGTGGTGCTCATTTCACCGACAATCACTTCCCCGACAACTTAGTTCACCGACAATTAATTCACCGACAAGTTCATTTCACCGACAGCTCATTTCACAGACAAAGTAATTCTAGTCATTGTCGTTAAGGTCAGGCTAAATTAGAGTTAAGGTTAGTATAATTTATAAAAAAAACTTGTCGGTGAGGTGAATTAATTGTCGGTGAACTAAGTTGTCGGTGAAGTGATTGTCGGTGAAATGATACGTATCCATATTGACACGATGCATACAATTATAAAGCTAATATTTTTCATATTATACTTAGTTAATACTTAACCAATTGGTTACTGACATTTAAGTACTATTAAACACCTTTTGTTCTAATGGTGATATAAACATAAATATAAAACTACATAACTTCAATTTACATAAATTTTCAAACCCATATACAGAATACCTACAGTAATAATGCTCGCCTCATGCAAATTCTTGCAGTATTTATAAACTATAATGGCAATGTTAGACATATGCGCAAAATAAACTTATGATTTCAGATGCAAACATTAAGTGTAAAGAATTTTTAGTCTATGAAAAGAATTTTAGAAACCTAGTTGATGGGCAGATTGATGAATATTGTGGGTTAAAAGACTAAAGCTATATTTTTTTATTTGTATTGAGCTGAACTAGTGTAATATATTTATGTTTATGTTATTGCAAGATTATAGGTTTTTTATAGTAAACAGGGTTTTGATTAAATGGTAAAAAAATGAATTTGGACTAAATGTACAATTGGTATCTTAAATATGTCAGATGCTGATTGTGTGCATTCTAGTATATAAAATTAATAATCCTGTAAATAATATAATTCTATATATTTTAAACATCAAGCTATTTAATATTATATCTAAATATGTTACTATATATTTTTTCTGCTTAGCTAAGTATTTATATATATAGTAATCTCTTGCCATCTTTTTTAATCTCTTAAAATAGCCATGACAAACAATCAGAATCTACAATATCTAATTACTAATATCTATTTCAGATATGTATAAGGGTATAATGTAACTAAATTATTATTGGTTGGATTTTGTTTAACAATGCACTTAATTATGTGATTCTCAATTTTATTACTATTACTATTAACCATTCTAAAAGTTTATTCAATTATTTTTTTCTAACCTTTGTTTAATGGAAAACTTTTTCCAAAATTATTTTTTTATTTTCATCCGTGTTACATATACACCTGTTATTTAATGACTGACCTTGTACGTATATGCTTAATAGCTGACATCTTATTTCTATCACAATTTATAGCATTTTTTAATATTGATAGTTTTAAGAATAGCCTTTTCTGTTATTTTATTTTTTTTGCAACTGTTTAGATATTTCACTATATTTAACAAAACATTCGGATATACCAAAATTTTGAGTAACATGAGAGTAAATAGCATTTTCTATTCCTGTATGACTATTCGCTGATAAATCTCACTTGGTGATATATAAATTTGCAGATGAAGTAAATACACTGCAATAATATATTGATATAGAGTTCTAGTACTTTATAGAAGTAGGCTTGTGTGGGTGATTCAAATATATAATGTGTTTGGCTTGATTTATTATCAATTCGTTTCACATTACCATTTTCAAATATCTTATAGGTTACTAGATTTCACAAGATCCCTTGTTGCCTAATAAATAACTCAATACAAATTGTAAGCATGTCTATTTCGCCGATATGTCATTTCACCAACAATCAATTTGCCAACGAAAGTTTTTCGCTGACAATAATTTCGCCGACAGCCCATTTACCGCCAAGTTTTTTAAAAATTGCACTTAATTCTAATTTAAACCTGACCTTAACAATGACCAGAATTTCTTTGTCGGTGAAATGAATTTGTTGGTGAATTAATTGTCGGTGAAGCTGTCGGTGAAATGAACGGAACCCATTAATATATATACGTCATCATGAGTATAATTATATTAGTGTAAAGAAAGCAAACAGCTACAAATCGATTACCAACACCACCAGTGATGGTAATCATAATCAATTGAGCTGTTCGTAACCGATTAAAATTGATTTCAAAATTTCCTATGTAAGTAAAATTTATTGCTAAGCTTTGCATTTCGATACTAAATTTTTTACATTATAAATTTTTACTGGAGATCTTAGTATTTTTGATACTGTCTAAACCAATTTGACTAGTTCCACATGATAATGAGTTTGTTAAATCTTTAATTGATCCCTAAATAATAACGAGCTATTCCTTGACATCTGAGTGACTCTGCGTCATTTGGGTCAATATTTAATGCATTATTTAAGTCTTCAAGTGCATTACTAAATTCACCAAGTGCACAATATGCCAGTCCTCGAGTTTTTAATGCGTCAACATTTCTTGGTTCAATGTCCAATAATTTTGTTAAATTCTTTACTGCTTCTTGGTATTTTTCTAATTTATAATAAGATTGTCCCCGGACCCTTAATGCAATTCTATTATTCGGATCAAGTTTTAATGAGCTTGTCGAATCTTTAAGGGACTCTTCATATTTTTCTAACTCAAAGTAAGTTTGTCCTCGATATCCTAATGTCACCGCATCGGTCGGATTAGCGTTCAATAATTTAGAAAAATCCGCAAGTGATTCCTTGTAGCGTTTTAATTTATAAAATGTTTGTCCTCGAGATCTTATCGCAGTTACATTATCCCGTTCAATTCTTAATGAATTTTTTAAATCTTCAAGAGATTCTTGGTAGTGTTCTAACTCGTAGTATGTTTGTCCACGAATTTTTAGTGCAAGTGCATTGTTTTTCTCAAATTCTAATGATAATGTTAAGTCTTCAAGAGATTGTTGATAATTTTTTAAATAATAATGTACTTGCCCCCGAGATGTTAATGCACATGCATCATATTGATTTATATTTAATGCATTCGTTAAATCTTCAAGAGAATCTTCGTATTTTCCAAGCATATAAAATACCTGACCTCGAGTTCTTAGTGTATCAAAATCCTCTGGATTAATATCTAATGAACTTGTTAAAGTTCTAAGAGACTTATTATACATTCCTAGCTCATAATAAGCCTGACCCAGAAATCTCAAAGTAACGGCATTTTTAGAGTCAATGTCTAATAACTTTGTTAAATTTTCACGAGATTCTTGATATTTATTTAATTTAAAACAAGAATAACCCAAAAATCTTAGTGAATCTGCATAACCAGGATCAAGCTTTAACGATTCGGTTAAATCTGCATAAGATTTATCGTAGTTTTCTAATTTGTAATATGCTTGACCTCGAAAGCTTAGTGCAAAAGCATTATTTGAACTCATTTTTAAAGATTTATTTAAATCTGCGAGAGAATCTTCATAGTTATTTAGCATAAAGTGCGTTTTTCCTCGAAAACTTAATGCATTTGCATTATTTGGCTCAAATACTATCGATTTATTTAAATCTTCAAGAGATTTATCATAGCGTTTTAATGTACAGTACGCTTGTCCTCGAGTATTTAACGCATCAATATTTTCTGGTTCCAAGTTTAACAACTCTGTTAAGCTTTTTATAGATTCTTCATATTTTTCTAACATGAAATATGATTTTCCTTGTACCAATAGTGCAATAGTGTTTTTTGGATTAAATTTTAATAAATCAGTCGAATCTTCAAGGGATTTGTCAAATTTTTTTAACTTAAAGTGAGCCTGTCCTCGATATTCTATTGTGATTGCATCGTTTGAATCAATTTCTAATGATTTATTTAAATCTATTAGTGATTCTTTGTAACGATTTAGCATGTAATATGTTTGACCTCGAAATCTCAGTGCAATAGCATTATTTGGGTCTATTGTTAATGATTTAGTTAGATCTGTAATTGATTTTTCATAGTTGCCAAGTTTATAGTATATTTGTCCTCGAGATATTAGTGAAAATAAATCATCATCAATAATTCTTAATAACTTTGTTAAATCCTCAAGCGACTTATTGTAATTTTCTTGTTTAAAGTATGCTAATCCTCGATATTTTAGCGCATCTCTATTATTTGGATCAATGTTAAGTAATTTGCTTAAAAGTTCAATAGAACGTTCGTAATTATTCTCTTTATAATAATTTAGTCCTTGCTTTTTTAGTTCGTTCACATTGTCTTCATTTTGAGATCTTTCTAAGCTAGGTTCATCCTGTACAACGAAAAATAAAGTAGGTGATCTGTTCCTGGTTAAAATAGGCTTAGGTCTTCGATTATGATTTATAATAACCTCTTCAACTATTACTTCCTCTGATATTTTATTGAGAGTTGTCAAAATTTCGTTTGTTGTTGGACGTTTCTGCGGATTAATGTCCCAGCAATCTTTATAAAGCTTAGCAAAATTGAGTGGCGTACCAGGAATTGTATCCTCTCGATAGCCTTTCAATATTTGCATAATAATGGCAAATCCATCGTTAACGCTCTCAAATGGGGCAGTTCCACTTGTAAGCTCCCAAAATACTACACCTAAGCTATAAACATCTGATCTTTTATCACGTTTGTATTCAGGCTCATGGGACATTGGGTCAATGTACGCTGGCGCACCACGTACATTCGAAGTAGTGAATGAAGAAATTAAACTGTCATCAACCTTTTTTGCTAAACCAAAATCCGCAATTAAGAATTTGCCATTATTTATTAAAATATTTTTAGGATGCTAGATAAATTATTAAATTATTAATTTAAATTATTAATAATAAAGTATAAATATATATTGGAAATTTATGCTTACTAAATCACAATGAATTATATTATTCTCATGCAAACGCATTAATCCGCGAGTAACTTGTTTCGCAATTTCGATGATTTCACTTATTGAAATTTTAAAAGTATTCTCATGCCACTTGCTCAGCAAATATTGCCGTAGAGTTCCTCCATTGGCAAACTGCAATACTAATATGAGATGTCCTGTTTCAGGATCTAGAATTATGTGAACACAGTAGAAATATTATTTAGTGAATTTAAGGAATATTGTGTATATAAAATGGATTGTTAACAATACCTATTGTAATCCCATGGAATTGGTTAATATTAGGATGAAATTTAATAGCACGTAGTTGTTTAAGCTATAATAAGATTATGGACTATTAGATGTGGACCAAACACTGGAAGATTACTAAATGCATTACCTCATTAACAAAATCTTTAGTTGCTTCTTTGGTTTTGAGGTTTTTCAATGCGACTTTTTCTCCATCATAGTCAGCCGAACTAATAAGTCCAAACCCACCTTTATGAATTTTAACGCTTAAAAGTTAAAAATTTTGTTATTTGTATTAGATAAAGAATATACTAAATAATTAGATAATCATACCGCTTCCAATAGTTTCAATATCGCTGAACAGTGAATAATTATAAAAGAATATATTACCATTTTCCACTTCCTTTTTTAACCATTCAGAGTATTTTTCTAACCCATCTGAGCGTGACATTATCGGTTTCTATTTGTTATAACCATTGTGAAAAAAAGAATATTTAACTTGAGATCTAGCACCAGTATATTACTTGTGTATCTGTGACATATCTGTGTACATATCTGTGTACGTATCTGTGTATCCCTGTATCCGCATTTTAACCCCTTTGAAATTTTAGTATGATCAGCATAATGGAAATTCGGTTTGATTGGATGCTTATTTTATATTGACAAAACATTGTTACACAGGCTTTTTATATTATTTTACAATAGAGATTTTTAAATTAAAGTAGCTATATCGAAATGTTTATAATCAAAACCCCTGAAATTTTATCAGAAGTTTTAGACGCTTAACTTTGACATAAAAGTTTGGGATAAAGAGCGATCAAATGTTCTACCAACTTCATCAGAAGTGATTCTGACATTACAAGCATATACGTAGTACGTTAACAAAATTATATATTTTCAAAGAGTAATAACAACTAATAAACATAATATTTTTTTTAAAAAAAAGTTTCGAATTTCACGTGAACAAGATAAGAAGTAGGGTTCTGCATCAGGCACATTGCGCAATATGCCAGGCACTTATTCCTATGGCATGCCTGTGTCCATAGGCACAAAAGTACCAGTTTAAAAAGTGCCAGGCACTTTGGTGCCATGCCTAAAAAGTGCCAGACGCTTTGGTGACATGCCAAAAAAAGTGCCAGGACATTAGTGCCATGCCTAAAAAGTGCTGGGCACTTGGTCCTATAATAATGCCTGACACTTTTAGGCCTGGCTACATATAAGTGAAATAGTAATGGCGCAAAAATTTGACGGCACCGTGACCTCCAAATTGACTGATGTTCCAAATCGAGCCAAGGGGTTTTAACAAATATTTAAACAATCACGGTGGAATACAGCATTTGATAATTTCCGCACTTTTAGTTTCAATATTGAATTTTTATTATCTAATAGTTCGAGATGAAATTTCTGGATGTTTGCGATTCCGATTTGACTCGGAGATCACGGTACCTCCAAATTTTTGCGCCATTACTATTTCATTCGCTACATAACATCATACATGCAATCGGAACTTGGTATTTGAGTGCTGCCAAGGGAAAACCTGTAAGCCAATTTTGAGGCATCAATAAGACGAGTTTACCCATGGGAAAATTGTGATATGACGTATTAAATCATTGTATACAATCAGTGTTCCGATTGTTTCTATATCATGTGCACTTGTCGCCATTTAACAGACTTAGGTTAATAAAAATTTTAATGACACTGATTGTATACAATGATTTAATACGTCATATCACAATTTTCCCAGGAGTAAACTCATCTTATTGATGCCTCAAAATTGGCTTACAGGTTTTCCCTTAGCAGCGCTCATTTAAAAAAAATTAAATATAAAAAATAAATTTAATATATATTATTTTTAGTAGTAAAATTTAAACATATAAGCCAATTTTTAGAATTTATATTAGGGCTAGTTTTTTTAAAACCTTAAAATTAAATAACTTTTAATTTCTTTTTTTGTATTTGAATATCTTTTATAACTATCTTTTTTTATAAAACACCATATTTAGCTATTTATATCCATCATAATATACACTTTTTTCTTTTATTATACTTATATCTTAATGCATGCATATAAGTATAGCATGTTTTCTTAAAGATTATATCCTTTGTATATCCTATTTTAAGCAACAATATTTTCTCTATATATATTTTTAGAGCCCTAAAAGAGCATAATTCTGGAGACTGTTGATATAGCTATTCTTGATATTCTTCTAAAAAATTTTTATCAAGCAAGCTTATAGATTTTTATATTTTTCTTGGTGATAAAAAAGAAGTTCTTCTGATTTTATATATAATTAATACTTTCTAATATACCTTGATATATAATAACCTTTATTCTATAGCATTTTGCAATCTGAATGCTAGCATTTATTTTTCCTTATCTATTTAATAACAATTAGTAAGGATGAATCAAAAGTTAAATACTATGATTTCTTTAACTTGGAAATTTGGACTCCCAAGAGTTAAGATGTGTTTTGAAATCTCTATATACACGATATACTCGATATACTATATCTACCAGATCTGGCATATCGAATATATGGCATATATGGCATATATGGCATGTATGGCATTAATGGTATATCTGGTATATATAACAAAGACAAACCGACCCAAGCCACCTTAGCGTCGATTTACCCTTTCACAACGGGTTTATACAAGCCTTGCGCTTGTGACTATTGTCAACTACTGCTACTGGTGCTCATGATCATGTGACTTCAGAACCAAATTTGGGTACAAAGAAGTGACTTTGTAAACTTTTGCAAACTTTTGCAAACTTTGTTATATAAATAATTGCGGCTGGAATAAAAGGGTTTAATAGATGAAAGTACAGTCAAATCTCCCAAAATACAATTCATCGGACCAACCTTTTGACAATGTGCATTTAAGAACAATAAGAAAAGTTGCATTTATGGGGTCAGAAATATACTTGGGCTAAAGCTTGAGGTCGTATTTAGTGAGATATTGCATTTAAGGGTTGCATTTAAAGAGGTCTGACTGTATAAAAATCTTTAAAATAGTAGCAATAATTTACATTTATAAATTAAGTCAAACTACAGATTTCCGCCATAACGATGATAATTAAAGTTTAAAATTACAAATCTCAATTTTGCGTTTCAAGAACGAGGAGTTTAATTAAAGTCATGTGATAGTAAAACTCTAGTTTAATTGGATCAGATCTCAAACAGAGTTCAGGCAAGTAGGATAACATCCCTAGGCTAGAATGCTTTTTTAATTTAATTGAATTATAATTACTAGTTAATTGTTTTAAAAAGGTAATTTGAGTTGTCGAATTATGCGTCCATACTGTGTCATTAAATCTGAATCCCTAATGAACATCCATTCTGTATAACTTATGCTACTCCCAAAGTTACTGTAACTTGTAATGCATAAACATTGCTCATTCAATCCTGGTCATAACAACAGTCATTCCAATATTAAGCATTATTGTTAGTTTGGAAACAGGAATTCGTTTCACTTTCAACATACAGGTTATCCTCGTTAATACCAACCTTTTGAATTGGTTTTAAATAATGTTGATAGTGATTAGACAGACTGTGACGAAGGCACAGGAGAGATATTATCGTGAGGATCACCTGACCTCATGATCATAGTGACGCCCAAATGAAGTCATGGTCGAATGATTTTTTTTTTTTTTTTTTTTTGCATGATGATGAGGTCACTGATCTTGCGATCTTATTGATAAGTATAAGTAAGCCACAAATGCAAAGAGGGAAGTTGTGCTTTTCTTTCGCTGCTTTAGTAGTTGCCTG